GTACTAATAACCCTCTTGCTGGTCCTGGAATCTTAATGTATATCCACCAAGCAGTTCCCATTAGGACTGCCGCTTTTACAACTTAAGCTTAGGCAATTCTTCCTGTGTTACTAGTGCTATTGAGCAATATAGCTTTGCATCGCATCTAATTCCTATCAGACAGCAAGTCAGCCATTCACCTGAACCCTGGAGATAGCCATGACATATTTAATTCATAACTAATTCATATCATTGTTGATTTCATGGCTCATTGACAATTTGGGAGTGCAAACAATGACCTTTTTTAAAAAGAAATGTCTAATCCTGAAAGGAGGAAATCATTGATCTGAACAGATTCATTCTCTGTAAGACTTTATTTAAGCACTGTGACATTTCTGGGCTTCAGTGGATGGTGCAGTAGCTTAAACAATGAGCAATCAAAAATATCAAATGTTATTGTTCATCCACCAGTTTCAACTGCAAATCAATGCTTTTTATAGGGCTGAAAGACGCAAGCTCCGAGTGTCTGTGTCCTGACCTGAGGATCCAAAACTGAAAAGTGCTGAGCACTATTTGTAAGGTATAGAGCACCCTCAATTTTTATGATACAGTGGAAACCAATGGCATTCAACACCTGGGAGAGTATTCTGTTCTAAAAATCGTAAGGTAGAATAATGTAATGGCACTCTCCAAATTCAAAAACTGCTCAAGTCACTGTTGCTGTGACAGATTTAATTCTACTCACTTGTGCATACACGTTGCTTTAGTTATTACATGATACCACAGTGTATTTTTTGTAGGTCCTCTAACCCCCAACTGTGTAAATTGGATCAAACCTGTTGAATGAGGAAGTGGTTCAATGTTTATTTTGTGTCATCAGAGTCCCGTGTGTAGCCCATTCCTCATTTAGTAATAATTACCATCCAACTGCTATACTGGTTCATATAATATTTTTCCCCAAGCAATATGATGTGATCATGTAACATGAAGACTCTGTGGGAACGCACAGGCACAAGGAGACAGAGTTAAGCTTGCATGGGCAGCTTTAACCTTGGCATGTCCAGTCATCTGAGAACTTCTATGTGTAACCTTAACATTCATTTGAGCAGTATTCTCTGTGGAATTTCTTTAAAAAAACTAAGAAAAGAACATCATAGTAAGTTAAATGAATTCAACCTTGTGGAAAAAAGTGCCAGGGTTGCTCATTAATTGGGCAGATTTCAGCACTGAAAGTGCCTTTCTCTGTTTCAAATGCAACTTTTGTACTACTTATCCCATTTCATTCTCACCTTCACAGGAGGTGTTTAGGACCTAGATTCCCTTTACTGCTCCAGTATCTTGCAAATGCTGAAAAAAAGTTGGAATAGGACTGTATGGAGAGAAGCTTTCTACTATCAGTTCCTATACCCATGGCTCCTCTCTCTGTACTCCGTAACATCACTCTGCTAATACTCAGCTACCATCTGCTGCTTCTTCAGCCCCATCTTGTACAACTGAAAATAGCACTCTTACAACAAGACCAGGTACACTGACCCATAGAATAAGGTATCTAAACTGCTTACCCCAAAAAAGAATCCAGTCTCATTTGGTCTAAACAAGGTTGGTTTAGAGACTAATGAAACTGCAAAATAAATTTAAGAAAAAGTTGTGCTTGCCACTATGCAGAGATCATAGCGTCATGTAGCCGGTGGTACAGGTATCTGCCTTCTTGCCTGGTATCCCAATATTACAGTCCAGTGTTACACCCTAAAATGCATCTGGTTTGCCCCATTCTTTCTCCTGGATCAAGATTTTAAAATCTGACCTGATGCATTGTCTGATTTATTTCCTCTTGGTTTCTGAGGCAGGATTAACTACAAAATAGATGCATTATTGTATCAATTTCTTACAGTAAGAACACAGAATTTTTTTTACAGTCATTGACGCAACCCTTCCCCACCACGTATTCTGTCCCTTCAGGATCCTTTTGATTCCAAACACAAAACATACTTTTTAATAAAAACATCATATCTGAGGGGATCTGAGAGCCATGACGGTGGAATCAGAATCTTCCATGGAAAATCTCAAGGGGAAGCAGAAAGTTTAGGAATGTGGGGAAAGATGACTATATATTACATACCAGACTGATAAGTCAATTTTTTTTTAATTATTCCATATATTTAAGAGTGTGAGAGTGCTCTTAATAAAAAAGTCCCACTAACTTTTAAAACATTTCAATAAAATTCATGAAGACTATGAATGTAACACAATGTTCCAAACATGCAATGCCTAGTAATTTTTTTGTCCCACATCAAATTAAAATTCATTTGGAAAGGGCCAATGTGGTCCCCATTTACAAGAAGGGGAGAAAGGAGGACCCAGGTAACTATACGCCAGTTAGTCTCAACTCAGTCCTTGGGAAGACCTTTGAGGAAAATTTATCAAGAAGCACATCTGCGGGGGCCCAGCATGGGACGTAATGCTCAGGGACAACCAACACAGGTTCATTGCAGGCAGATCCTGCCTGACTAATCTGGTTTCCTTTTACAACCAGGTCACAAAAGTCCTTGGATGCAGGTGCTGAGGTGGATATCATCTACCTAGATTTCAAGAAGGCCTTTGACACTGTTTCTCACCCAATTCTCATAAAAAAACTAGGCGACTGTAGCATTGATGCCTATACAGTCAAATGGGTGGCAAATTGGCTCAATGGTCACACCCAGAGAGTGGTGGTGGATGGGTTGTTTTCGACCTGGAGGGATGTGGGCAGTGGAGTCCCCTAGGGCTCAGTCCTCGGGCCTGTGCTATTCAACATCTTTATCAGCGACTTGGAGGTGGGTGTGGAAAGCACGCTGTCCAAATTTGCTGATGACACAAAGATGTGGGGCGAGTTGGGCACACTGGAGGGGAGGGACAGAATCCAGTTAGATCTAGACAGGCTACAAAGGTGGGTGGATGAGAATAGGATGGAATTCAACGCTGACAAGTGCAGGGTGCTGCATCTAGGGAGAAGGAACCAGCAACACACCCATAGGCTGGGGAACACCCTTCTCAACAACACAGTAGTGGAAAGGGATCTTGGACTCATTGTTGACTCCAGGATGGACATGAGGCACCAGTGCAAGGACACAGTCAGTAAGGCTAACCGCACCTTGTCATGCATCTACAGATGCATCACAGGCAGGTCCACGGAGGGGATCCTCCCCTCTATGCGGCGCTGGTCAGGCCACAGTTGGAGTACTGCATCCAGTTCTGGGTGCCGCACTTCAAGAGGGATATGGCTAACCTTGAGAGGGTCCAGAGGAGAACCACTCGCATGGTCAGGAGGCAGTGGGCCAGGCCCTATGAAGAGAAGCTAAAGGGCCTGAACCTATTCAGCCTTCACAAGAGAAGACTGAGAGGGGATCTGGTGGCCCTCTATAAACTCGCCGGGGGGACCAGCGGAAAATAGGTGAGGATCTGTTTCCCCGGGCACCACCTGGGATAGCAAGGAATAACGGCCACAGATTGATTGAGAGCAGGTTCAGACTTGATTTACGGTCAGGGCTGCCAGGCTCTGGAATGGGTTCCCAAGGGAGGTGGTGCTCTCTCCTACCTTGGGGGTCTTCAAGAGGAGGTTGGATGGATATCTGGCTGGGGTATTATGATCCCAGCACTCGTTCCTGCCCAGGGCAGGGGGTCAGCCTTGATGATCTGTTCAGGTCCCTTCCAACCCTAGAAACTATTAAACTATTTTTAAAAGACACAGTAGATAATTTCATATGGTGTCACTATGGAGGCAGAATTCAGATTGTTTGGATACCTTAACTGTGTATTTGTATCCCTCATTGTATTTATAAATTCTCAGAAAATGTATTCAGCAGTCGGGGAGCCCATGATATTACTTTGGGAAAGATAAAAATTAGGATTTTTCATATAAAACAGAGATTAAATTTTGCTTTAGTGCAAAACCCAAATCAGCTTTAACCATGGAATTGTGACTGACATCTCCAAAACAGAGTTTGTTAAAAATTTTGGAGTCCTGCTTCTCAATTTCCTTATACCTCATTTCAATCATATACGTCAGGGCAAACTGAGTAAAGAGTTGGTTTAAAATGACATCGTATCAGAATCACAGAACTTGTTTTTCAGTTATACTACTGACACACTAGCAATGCTCTAGCAAGTATTATATATAACAAGCAGTCTTAAAATAGACTTAAATTGCCCTTGCCTTATTTCAAGGTATCTTTATGCTGTCCGTGCAATGTAAAATGGCCTTAACGTAAATGAGAATCAGACCCATTTTTTTTAACCTACTTTACATTCATGTTGCACAGGTGTAGATATTACACAGTATACAAGGCAATGGAGAACATTACCACTCAATGTACTAGCAAAATAGATGCTTAGGAAAAATATGCTGAGAATAGATATTGATAGTCTCCAGAAGACTACTGTACTTGTCCCATTTCCGTAACTTTGTCAGTATAGGTATAAATAACCCATAAGAATTTTATAACTATTCGTGTTTATTAGGTAACTACATGTTTTACAAAGTACGCAAACATTCCTAACAAAGCAAGAAATAGTATTTTCAGGAAACATTTCTCTTATCATGGAAGTTAATGCACAAGGCCATGTGTCACATGCACTAGGTGGACTTATTTCAAAACAGCAACACCAATGGGATTTCCTAATGTGATTTCTTTTCTAATTTTAAGGCACCCCGAATTGTTGCTAAAATGCTTATGAAAATAATAAGGTCTTAGGTTATGAAATGTTTTGGTACAACACTATATAAATAAAACCTAATGTTATTAAATGACAATTCATTAACATCCATATTTATCAGTGGTTGAAGTAAAATCTAAAAAGCATAGCAATCTTATTGGTCAAGTATTAACACATTTTTCCCTAAAAAAAAGAAATTAACACAAACTAGGAATGAATAAAAGGACACACACATTTAAAAGTTAGATTTTAAAATCATTATTCTGTGATACTGTCAATGGTAATCACTATCTTGCATAAAAGAACTTAAGATAAAATTTACACAGGGAAAGCTTTGTATGGGGAAGGCTGTAATATGCAGAAGGGCCCTTGTGTTAAAGACTGTTAAGAGTGCTTTAGCCTGTTTGGAACTTGTAAATTAATTTTTAAAATACCAAAGCATAGATAAGATAGGACTTAAAGTAACAAAGTTGAAAAATGGAGGACAAGTGCTACTGCTTATGAAGACAGATGAATAACAAAAATACAATGGCCAGAACCAGGTTTGTAGATACAGATCACGTGAACCAATAACATTTTGGTTTATCAGCTATATATTGTATATTCTGTATACATCGTAGTTGCTGGCATACCATATTGTAAAGCCATTTCTGAAATACTGGGCGTATCTACACGAGATGCTAAAAGCACAGTAGACTAATTCTATTGTACATTAGCACATCATGGCAAAAGCTGTGTTAATGCGTTAATGCGCTGTAGAATCAGTCTACTGTGCATTAGCATCATGTAAAAGATGTGCGCCGGCGCTACTGAGCAGTAGTGCCAATTACAGCATGTTAAGTTAGTATGTTATTATGGTGCATTAATGTACATGTAAACGTGCCAACTGTCTCCTAGAAGCAACACTTCCAGGAGAGATTGTGCGAAAAATAACACTGACAACTGTATTGTAAGGTCATTCTTTTAAAAAGAGCTCCAAGCTCCACAGAGTACCTGTCCTCTAGCTTGTTGTGCTGTTTGAACCATTTCAAATATCTCTGGTAATACTGGCTAGGTCTCTGTCCTGATATGTAGCATTGCCAGGACAGTTTTCACAATTTGTAGACCAGAAAGAACCATATGACCTGCATAACTCAGGCAAAAGAAACTCATCTTTGGATTTCTCAAACTGAGAAAACCTAACACTTTTTTTTTGAAGGGGTGAATATGTACATGAAAACTATATTAAAGTCACCAAACTCATCTTCAAAATGTAAAAGAGGATGGTGCAAGAAAACTGAATCCCTGCCATCTTTACTTTTCACATTTTTTTTTGTTTTTGCAAAGCTTTTTCTAGTCCAGTATAAACTGATTCCTCTAAATCCACTCTCATCTGAAGCTGAGTCCTCTTGTAGTTTAGCCAGAGCCAGCTCCTATGGTGCAAGCCTAAATGAAAAAATAAAACAAACTAGATGAATAAGGGGCCATCAATCAATTGTAAAGTTCCTAACAGATTTGACAAAAATCTATCTACACAAAACTTTGGGTCAAGCTTCCCAAATCTCTCTCTAAATAACATCTTTAAAACCTTTTTTCAATTGCACTGGAATAAAGGGGGGGGGGGGGGGGACGACGGTATTAGCAAGGCTTACTCATTGATTAGGTGCAACCAAGGTGTCAATGTACCTCATGAGAATCTGTATCTGTCACCTGCTCGATGTGTTCAATGCATCCCCAATACACAAATACCAACGTACTGCATCCAAACAAGCCTTCCTTGCTCTTAATATGTAACGTCATTCTATAGACCAGAAAGAATATCACCTGAATAAAGGAGCTGCATCAAAATGGACTTCTGTTTTCACTTTGTTTCAAAAAGAAGAAACCCAGCAAAAGTGGAGAAGCGCTGATGATCTCCATGTAGCGCTCCGTTCCCCATACGCAGCCACACTTCATCTCCCTTGGCAAGTTTTAGCACTGCGCTGTTCCCCGACGTGTCAGATTTTCCTTTTGATTCATAGCTGAGGAGGAACATTTCACAAACAGGTCAGTTTTGCCTTTGTCAACAATGATCAAGCAAGCATCAGAACAAAAAGAATATCAATTCAAGAATGCATGTTGCATGAACAGAGCGTCCCCTAACAAGCTGCTGACTCATTATTGGTTTTCTTTCATTTGCCTTGCTTGAACATCATAGCAGTAAATTACAATCTTATGTGGCTTACTAGTCCCATTTTGCCCAAATTTAACTGCTTTATTTCATGGGGTTTTTTTAATTCTGGATGGTTATGTATGATTTTTTTCCTTTGGGACCAAGACTTGCTCATTCATTCCCAGCTCTGGATTTCTCATTATGTTCTGTATTTTTGTGTGCCTGCAAATCTTTTGGAAGAGGAGCTTTACTTTGTGTACAGCATGGCTCCAAGTCCATCATCAGCATTACACAAATAATAGAAGAGGGTAATTTCTCCAGGTACCCAACTAGCTACAGATTTTTAACCATGTGACTTGGTTCAATATATTTCTTTAGATATGGTCAAATGTTTCCTATTCCAGTTTATGTTTACTGTGCTACTCATGATACAAAATCTCTTTAGTTAAGATGTATTCTTTCAGTGACATTAAATAAAGCACCTAGGCTTCTTACTTACCTATAGTAATGTAGTTTAAAAAAGAACAGCTTCCTTTAACCTAACCAGCTTTCTTGTAGCATGCAACAGGACTGTCAGTTAGTTGATATGGATGTTTTTGTAAATCACTCATTTTAAAATATACTGGAGATGAATATTGCTTTTTTAAAAATATATCAGTTTGTCACCATTAGATCCCAACCCCAAATTAAAACACTTACCCCTTTTGACAACTTTGAGGAAATTATGACCAAGATTGAATACAAAGATCTAGTAATGATACAGATGTGTCAATATAGGGTGGTAAATATTTCTACTCATTTTAAAGGAACCTTGGTAGGATGAAATCCATGAGAAAGTAAGACTGGCTATGTATGTAGATTTCTCCACTGTGATGAAGATCACATGCATTTCAGCTCACCTATATAAGCTGAAAACTGTGTTACCATTGTGCATTAGGTACACATACACTTCCTCCACATCTTCATGTTTCATCATAGTGAAGGTGAAGAAATATACTCCTGAAAAAAAGTTAACAAACATAACATGTATCTGTGTTTGACACTGGCATGTAGTAGACTATTTGCCATATATTTGCATTTGTTGACTAGAAAATTTATGTAATTAGGCCCAAAGCTGGTCTCAGTGAAGTCAATAGGTATTTCTTATTCAGTCCTAGGGAGGCCGGGATTTGACTGGGTCTTATTCTACAGACAGCCCACGAAATTCGTGATATGAAACTCTGAATAAATAAGTATTTACAAATGACTGGGTCTTCCATCCCTCTCCAGCCAACCCCTAAAGGAAAAGTGGAGGATGATCTTGACAATGTCATGGGCAAATCCACAGAGGCTGCCTGAAGATGAACATGCTTTGCTGAGAAAAAGGAGCTGCAAGTAGGATGAGGTGAGGGGGAACTAAAACCTGGTCTCCCACTTTCTGAAAAACAGCCCTAGCCACCAAGCTACTGGGCTAAAAGGTGCAGGGGCTGGTTGCCACCACCTCCATTTGTTCACACCTGAAACGTGCGTTCTCGGGGGAACAGAGTCTAGAATCTGGGTAAGTGTCCAAAACCGCCGCTGACACTGCTAAAGTTAGCTGAGCAAGTGCTATTTACCCACCTAAATCTGAAGTTGAATCTGGACCTTGACCTTGTGCTAATATATCTTGCAGTTAGAGTGTGTAGGTTTTTACAGAACAACCAGTAGTTCTGCTTCTCCTACTGAGGATGCAATTACACAGATGAAAAAGTGCCTTATAGTAATATAGCTTATTCTTCCTTCTGTACAGGAACAAATGACAGCAGTACCAGTACTTTTTCCACCATTATAATTGCTTCCACACTACAGGGCTCATACTACTTTGACTATATCTGTACAGCTAAGGCAGTGCAACTTGAGTATGTAGCAACGCCTTGGTGGGTGCGTCTGCGTGAGATGCTACATCACCATAGCAACGAGCTATGGCAATGTAGCTCATCTCTATGGTGATGTAGTGTCAATAGGCACAAACCGTGATGCCGACGCTACGTTACTGTAGCTTGTCACTACAGCAACATAGCGTCTAAAAAAAACAAACTGTGCCACTGGGACTGTGCAGTACCAAATGTGCAGTCCCAGGCATGTGTAGACACGCCCAATATAAATGACATGAAAAGTCAAATGACCTTATTTGTCCTTCTAGCTCAGGACTGAGCTGCCCTGACAAAACTTTGTATTGAATTGCATACTGTCACCATCTAGGCTGCAGGTGTTCTGTAGATAAGGTGAAGTCTTGGGTCTTTAAAGAGACCATGCTTTCATCTTTTATGAACTCAAAAATCCTATTTTAAAAACTCATCTCTAATTTAGACCAACACTGACTAATAATAGTCTTACTGTACTGAACAATGACTGTGTATCATTTCCTCAATTCTAACACAGAATTTCTCCAAACTGGGGTAAGCCAAGAGTTTAATCAAATTTAGAGCTAAATCTTACCTCTATTGAAGTCAATAGCAAAACCCCCTTTCACTTACAACAGAACATTTAAATTTGTTCCTTCAACATCTACTTCCTATCTGACTAATAAGACACTACAGAGTCAATCTACACTATTTTGCCTTGTAAATACTCACCATTGACTGGAGCACCAAATCTACCAGTCATAACATCAAAGAAATTTCCAACATTGGTTTCAACACTACTGAAGATTATCCCACTGTTCTGATTACTGAAGTGAGTTGCCATGGAAGCCATGAATGCAACCTATAAAATATAGTTCATATTTAACCAGTGGTTAATGAGGAGGAAAAGGACAAATATGAAGCCATAATGTAAAAGCTTTTCTGTATATTTCCAGTATATTTATTTTTCTTAGAGGGATGTTCTTTTAGGACTTGATCCAAGGGCAATTAAACTCCCATAACAAAAATCCCATTGAATTAAGCTGGAACAGGTCTATGTCCCTTAGTTTTATGAATCTGAATAGTCCAATTGAAGTTAAACGCTTAGGCAATGTGTACAGGTCAGCATTTATTTTCAATTTTGTTGACTTTAAAGTGGATGAGAGCAATGCGATAGAAAAGTAATGTGTGATCTTTTAGTATAAAACTGATTAAATTAGTGTATTTTTTAACTCAGATACTGCTTTTACTTGAGCATAAGAAATAAGTAAGGCTCATTAAGCCATATACACATCACTGTTTCTTGCCAGCAACCATCAGGTATGAGTTTAGCAATTTTAAGGTCACTTGACTATGGTCTCTTAAATGAGATGCCCAAGATTCATCAAGCAACTTCCCTGTCCCCCATCATCTGCTCCAAATTCCTCTGTCACGACCATGTAGGCTGGAAGTAAAGGGGTGAAATTAAGAAAGGAGAAATTTAGCTTGATAGATTGTTATATAAAACTTCTTGCCTGAGAGATGCTTTAAGCTCTAGAAGAATATCCAAAGGGAAGTGGTGCAAACCCCTCGCATGGGATACTTCAAACTACACTAGACAAGGTAATAGAAAATGACCCATTAAAAACCAGTTCTGGGTCTGAGATCTCAAAACACATCATTACAGTGGACAGACACAAGTTCTAGAAGGCCACAGACTTGCTGGGTGATTGGCAAAACAGGCAGGATTGTTTCCGACTAAATGATCCCACCCAAGTATCTGTCTAATATGCTCTTGAAAACTTCCAAGGATGGAGATTCCAAAGTTTCTCTAGGTAACGTGTCCCAATGCTTCACCACCCTCATAGGCAGAAAGTTCTTCCTAATTAAAGTTCCCCTTCTGAACCTTGAATCCACGGCTTCTAGTCCTATCCCCTTTGGCCACAGAGAATTGCCCTTCGGGTATTTGAAGATGATTATCAAATCCACCCTCAAGCTTCTCTTCTCCAGGCTAAATAACCCTATTTCTTTCAGTCTTTCCTCATAAATCTTGCTTCCCAGGTCCCTAATCATTTTTGTTATTCCGCACTGTCAACAAAATACTGAACTTGAGCAAGAAAAATGACGTCTTTCCAGTTGAACTAAAACCATAGATCTAAATTCAGACCCAGCAGCTGAAATTTTAAACCACCTGCCTAGAAGTATGAAGATCTAGAACTTGGGTAGCAGTCTGGACTAGCTCCCTCTTTCCATTCATGCATTTTTTTAGAACAGAAAAGTGATTAATTCTCTTGAACTACAGTTCCCTCAAGCAGCACTGCATTCAAATTAGTTAAGTTTATATGCTGATATGAGGCAATTACAGTGATGGTTTGATGCATTGGATTATTTTTTTTCCAAATAATATCTGAAATGTTATTCAACTCCAGCCTATTCTTCAGAGGTTAATTAGAATACAAAAGAAGGATGCATCCACACATACAGGCATGTGCGCTTGCAGCAGCTCAGATAGCAGTGGCACAAATTTGCGCTGGAGATTTGTGCCTCAGCACACGTGCCTGAACATGCACTTTGGTGTAGGGCAAGTTGTGCCACTTGGGGTAAAGTGATCCTGCCCAACTCCTCCTGGATCTGCAGCCAGGGTGAGCTAAAGGCTGAGGCCAGCACCTGGGCTGGCTCTGGCAGTATAAAAAGCTACCCTGGCAAGCAGCTCAGGGATACTCACTCTCAGGAGCTTCAAGGCCCAGCCAGTTGGCATATGGGGACACTAGCCCTCTGTGCCAGCTGGACTGCTGCAGCAGCCCTGACTTAGAGTGACCCCTTTCCACTCTACCCACTGCAGCAGTCTGGCATGGGGGCTGATGCCTGGCTGTGACCTGCTGCCACCTGTGACAGCATCCTCCCCCTTGGACCTGCAGCCCCATATCTGCACACCTGCCAGACCTGGATGGGGACCACACGGCCACCTGGGATGTGGCGTGGACACTGTAGCAGAGCTGCCTGCACCTCTGGGCCAGCTGCCAGTGGGCCATAGCTGCACAGTCGGCCTTCATGTGGCACTGCTGCCACGTGTGCCCCCACCCTGGTATCTGGGCAGCTATCGCCTGGAAGATGTTCCCAGTGTGATGGCCTACTTTGAACTGGCATTGCATAGCCCCAAATGGCCAGGACGTCAGCCACTTCATTTGCCCTCCAGCTGAGTCCCCAATGCCAGCCCTGGGCAGGCTCCTCTGCCTGGGTAATGCCACTTGCCTCACTAGCAGGAATTCTGGCGTTCCCTGTTTAAAAATTGCAAGTTCTCTGATAAAACACCCCAATTCATGCTTTAAAATACCCACAATTAAAATGAAATACCACTATATCAATATCTATCTATATTTAGAGAGAGATCAGTTGGGCAATGTTTTATTGATATATTTACAATTTTAATGCAATTTGAAAGCCTACCAGTGCCTCTATCATCATAATAAAATAAATTCTAAATATCTATATGCTTTGGTGTTTGCTTTTGGTTTTTTTATCATAGAAAAATCAGAGTTTCCCCTGATCCCTTCGCTAACCAGTATGTGGGGATAGCTGCCCCTTCAGCCACAGCTCCTGCCAGCAGGTCTCATCCTATCTGGCAGCTGGGCGCATAGGGTGTGAGATGTGGGGGGGATGTGGGGTTTGCAGGAAGGGGGTTGGGGGGTGTGGGGTGTGGCAGGGTTCGTGGGTGGATGTGTGGGTATAGAGGGGATACGGGGTTTGTGGGTGGGATTTGTGGAGGAGCTTGAGGGGGTCCTTCATACACCCGTCCTGCCCCCCCATGTCACACAGCCCCCGGCGCTGGCAGCAGCAGTCAGCTGGACCATGCCCGCTGCAGAACAGCCCCCCAGGGCACAGCACCACCTGACCTGTGGTCTGTACATAGTGAACAGGCCCAGCCTGACCTGGCCTGCTAGTGTGTGTTTGGACAGGACCGCACTGGTTCTTTCCACCACTTGCGCCACTGGGGCAGGCTGAGCCGAGCCAGGTCAGACTAGGCCCGTTCACTATGTACAGACTGTGGGTCAGACTGCACTGTGCCATTGTGGGTCTGTGCTGCAGTGAGCATGGCCCAGGTGGCTGCTGCTGCCAGTGCCGGGGGTGGTGTGCCACATGGGGTGGAGGGGATGGGTGTACAACAGCCCCCCCTCAAAACCCCGCCAGAAGCCCCACACCCACTAACAACCCCCCCACACCTCACATCCCACCCACACACCCACAATCCCCCCAGAAACCACACAGTCCCCCCCACCCATATTGATCAGGGACAATACCCTGGTCTGGGTCACACTGCAGCCTTACCCCTCTCCTGTTTGCCCCAACACAGAGGCAGCATTCTGGGGCAGCAGGAGCACCACAGAGACACTCTGGCCAGATGCCAGAGCATCTCTCTGGAGGACTCAGCCACCAGTTGCCCCAAGGCATGCTGCATGACCGTGCCCTGTGCCCCCTTTTTCCCCCATGGGGTTTTTTTTTTTTTTTTATACCTGGATTTCCAGGTATAAAACATAGAGTCTGTGCTGCAAGTATGCAGTGTGGGGAACATTTTTTTTGGTTCCCAGCATGCCTCTTGTGGCATCTCAAACTGGTTTGAGATGCTGCAACAGGCATGTACATGCTTGTTTGGATGCAGCTGAAGAGTCTTCTTCCACCTTCTGTTTTGTTACAACACATCTGATCAAAGGGGATGGAGTTCTCCCTTAAATTAATCCAGTTCTAAAGAGATATTTTCATGCAAAAACATGTTCCCTTCTCTCCCTTCACCTTTCTGAGGATCTTGTAGCTTAAAAACACACGGTTATACTGCTTTAACAATTTTAAACATAACCAAAAACAAGAGGGAATCCTTTTTGTGCACCAGTTAAATTTCCACAAGAATATCTACATTAGGGAAGGTTCTGGCAGCTAAATTTAAAATTACAGAAATGCTTATAAGGTACATAATTGTAACAACTATGTTTTTCAAGCCATTCTTCCAGAAAATTCCTACAAATTAATATTTTTCTGAAGACTCTTTCAGCTACTTTGTCTTGCTACAAAAGTCAATTAAGTAGGAAAACATTTTCAAGCTGTATTTCATCCACTGCAAAGGCTCTCCCTTAATTCAACACCATGTTTGACAATGTAAATATATATGGCACCAAAGAATTCAAAGTCATTGCCTCCAAACTGCACAGATGCCACAGTTTGTATTGCGGTATTTACTGTTAATTTTCATGTGCTTTATGTGTATGTAAAAGGTCAATGAAATATTACTTTATGAAACCATACTTTGAAAAGGTATTAGCCCAAATTACAGAGTTTGGACCGGTAAATGGAACATCTATTTTCCCTAATGTTAACAAGTGTGTGGACTGGGGATTCCTTTTGTATACTTAATCCCTGTCTAATACCTAATGCTATGGCTGGCCATGCTACGATACTATTTTACACAAGTTTAATAATCAGTGGACACCAAATCATAAGAACCCTTAACATCTTATGATATACTAGCCAATTGCCATCAAGAATGACTGCGGGGTGGGGGATGGAGTGCCGGGTGGGCAAGGCCAGTGGCGCAGAGCCAGCACTGCTGCTGCTCTGCCTCTGGCCCTGTGAACCCACCCCCACAGCTGGCTCTGCACTGCTGGCCTTGCCCACCAGGTCTGGCCCCTCAGTCTCTGCCGGCATGTTGGGGGAAGGGGGAGAAGGCCAAGCCCTGCGTCCAGGCCCATTCCTCCCTGCAATGCGGCAGCAAGGCTGGATCTGCCTCTGGCCCCGTGTGCCCTCCCCCACCCCCAGCGTCCAGTCCTGTGCACTGGGGGAGCAGGCAGTCCATCACCGCCACTTGCAGGGAGCAGAGCCAGGCGGGGGGAAGGAGAGGGGAGGGGCTGAGGCCAACAGCCCTGCCCGTACCTCCCCCATGCTCTGTCTGGTCTGCCGTTGCTGCTTGCAGGGCTGCACCCCCATCCACTCCGTCACCACCCCTCACTGTCCCCCTGCTCCATCCTCTGTATCCCTGCAGTCATGGTGGTGCTCTGCTGCACCGGCTTCTGTCCAGAATGCTCTTGGCACACTCTGATTGGTTGTTTCAGTCAGCTAATCAGAGTGTGAATAAAGCAGTATAGTGTGGAGATACCCAAGTGAGTTCTAGTGCTACCACAGCTGGACTGCTGCTAGTATTTCGACTACCTCGTTCAGCTCATTCACCTGCTAGCTCGGGTGTCTCTACACTATACTGCAGTGTTCAGTGTAGACCCTCTGAGATGCCTATAGTGAGAGAAGTCATAATTTTAAAAGGCTCCATAACGGAAGGCTGGGGGCTGGGAACTGGGAGATGGTCCCTTAGGCAGCAACTAGATTGTTGCATAGCAGCTCTTAGTCAGAGACAAACATGGAGGCTGCAAGGGTTATGTACAGCTCCAGAATAAAGCCTATTGGGTTTGTCTACATGAGGTGCTTTACTGCACAGTAGTGTAGTTTACTACACAGTAAGCGTGTGCATCTACATGTGCACATGCTTACTGCATAGTAAACCTTGCTAACTGCAAGTAAATTTGCTACCTGCAAATGCAAGTAGTAAATTTACTTGCAATTACTTACTGCACAGTAGTGCTCATGTAGATGCCCAACTGGGAGCAAACCTGCTCCTGGTCACCTGGCTACCAGGGGGTGGGAGATTGCACCCTGCCCTCAAGAGCTGCCTGCTGATTATGTCCCCCTCCCCAGCAGCAGAGAGCTCCAAGTCTGCCCCCCTCCAAGATCGTAATCAATGAGCGGGGGATAGGAAATCCTTCTCTCCCAGCCCCCGCTTTGCCATCGCAATCAAGGAGCAGGGGGCTGAGACATCCTTATCTAAGCATCTGGGATCTCAGGCTGAGAGATAAGGATCCCCCACTGCTGGCCTGCAGCTGCGGAGCTGGCACTGGGAGCTTCCTGCTGGCAGGAGCTGGAGACCCTGTTCCTTGCCCAGCTCTGTGATTGCAGAGCTGGATGGGGAAGAGGCTGGGGATCCTGTTCCCTGCTCAGCTCCATGATCCGTCCAGTCCGGACAGCTGTCTCCTGGCCTGGTGCTCCCTGCCAGCCTCTGGGCTAGCACCCAACGGGAGTCTAGAGCTCCCCATAGTAGTAGCAGGGGCCCATTATAGCCCCAAGAAGCAGGAGTAATTTGCTACCATAAACAGCAAATCTGCTCCAGCATTTACTCATGAGTAGTTTACTCATAAGCAAACTGCTCCCACATCAAATCTGTGTATAGACACACCCATTGTGTAGTTCTTTTCATTCATATATGCCTATGTTTATTGAACCTGGTGATTACTGCATGGTATCAGACAAGGTGAACGAAAAAGAACTTGAAGGAATTTGACTTCCAAACTAAAAAACTTTACACTATTCTTTTTATTGTTAAGTTATATGTGGGTTTGATCTACTGTATTACTTCAAATAGAAGATGCCCTTGAATTTAAGATGCATAAATTTTCTGATCTCACTTTAAGAAACAAAATCAAATAAAAAGACACAAGGATACAATCTCTGTGAAGCCTGTGAGAGCTTTTTGCCTTTTTTTTTTTTTTTTTTTTGCTCCAGTTTAAGATGCAGGCCATTTTAAAAGGAATCTTTCACTTTAAAAGCTAGACCTTATATTCAAAGGACCAGCATATATCTGTATTCTGGTAACTGCGGGCTGATTTTGAGAAAGGAAACCCCAAGAGTAAAGACTACTGTTTTGAGATCCACAGTAAAGATATTGTACCTGGAGTTCTGGTGGAATCCCTGGATAACCTTTTTCTCCTTTTGGTCCATGATGGCCACGATCTCCCCTTGGTCCCAGGTCCCCTTTGTCTCCCTTCTCCCCTTTGGCTCCATCATGACCAGTTGCTCCATTATTTCCATTGTTTCCATGATTTCCTTAAAATAATCAATGTTTTCTGATTAGTCCCAATACAATTATGTAATACGTAATCCATATGTTAAACAATTTTTGACAGGATACTGTCCTTTCCCACCCCCAAGGCATAACAAATCCTATTCTCAGCATAAAGGTGACTTGTTCCTTGAGCAACCAAGGAAGTTGGTCTGTGTTAAGCATCCTCAGAAGGGTGATCCAAAAACCTTGCACGGTGTCTGTCCAGCATCTCAGAGCTGACTACTAGGGAATGCTGAAGACAGATGTGTACCTGAATAAACCCAATACGTTTCTGAGGTAGGTACCTTAGAGGAGCAAGCAGACTCTTCAGTGCACTCCAGATTAGGGGTGCAGTATACACTCCTGAGAAGATGTGCCTAGATCCATTCTTTGAAGGAAAAGGACAGAATAACTTGCTTCATTTAGAGCTTGGTCAGAAGAGGCACCAGGACTGACTTTTTTTTTTTTTTAATAATACCCAGGGGCCAGAACATTCATTCAGTAAGTGGAACACCTAAGTTCAATTTCTGTCTCATCCTGCCTGGAGCTCAAATCTATATATTTCTCACCTCCCAGGAGAGCACATAACAACCCAGCTACACACTGCTCTGGGTGCAGACTCTCCTCACCCCTCCTGCCGTAGCTGATTCACC